GGGACCGGGACCGGCTTGGTCGGTGTCGTCGACCTCACGCACGACACAGAGGAACGACGTGTCCTTCTTGATCAGCCTCTTGAATTGCATGGCTGAGAGGAGAGGTGGCATGTTGGGTGAGGCCATGCCCTGCAGGACAATGTCAGGGCCAACACGGACAGTGCGGCCTTTCCAGTCGACGACTGGAGTCGGCTCGGCACGAGCAAGCCAGCTCATGCCGAGGATGGCATCGAACTTGGTGTCGATCACTTGGAACAACAGGACAGGATGGTACTTGGGATGGAGGGCCACTCGCAGGACCACTTGGTGTGTGCACTGCTGCACACGATCGTCTGCAAGCGCCACACTCATCGGCGACTTCTTCTTGGTTGCATGTATGTTGAGCTCCTGGAGCAAGCGTCTGCTGACAAAGTTGCAGCTTGCTCCAGAGTCCACCATCATTCGGACGGTGTGACCTTGGACGGTGGCAGGGAGGTACAGCAGGGACTCTTCATGGTCCTCCTGCACAGCCTCCTGCACCATGACTTGACTTGGGGGAACGGGCGACACTTGGTCTTGGTTGGCTTCATCACGGCCACTCGGACATTTTGGATAGGGTTCGGCCATTGCGGGGGCCTGCGGCGTCAGCACGCCATTGCACACGACGTCCACGGCTTGCGGACACATGTCGGAAGCATCCGACACACACGACTTGACAGGGGTGAGGGCACAGGCGGTCCTGTCCCTCAAGGGTTCTTGATTTTCTTTTTTGTTTTGGTTTTCAATTTTGGTTTTCTCTTCACGTTCGTGGAGAGGCAGGCGGCTTGCGCCACCATGCACCTCTCGCACGACGCACAACACTTGGTTTGTTTCTCCTTCGGGGGAGGGGGCGAGGTGAACTTCCTCTGGAGACGCGTGGACTGCATTGAGCAATCCACGGCGTTGGTCTCCTACTAGGGCTCCAGAGCCACCTAGTAGGGTCGGCCGTTTCCCGACTTCATGGGGCACTCCTTGGCCTGGTGTCCCGGTCGGTGACAGAAGAAGCAGGAACCATGGCGGAGGTCCTCCTGCTTCTGTCTGTCCTTGGGGGAGACAGTGGCAGCTTGCTGGAACCGGGAGCGGGGAGGGCCACGAGCCTCCATGGCGTTGACGTCAACGTCCATGGGCTCAGGCATGGGTCTTGCGGGCGGGGCCGGGCGAGGCGGACGGGCTGGGACGTGATGAGACCGATGGCCGCCTGCCAGCTGCGGGTAGAACTGGCGGCCATGGTACTGGACGTTGTCGAGGTTCTCGGCAACGTCCATCATCACGTCCAGGGACTTGCGGGCATCAGGGTTGCTGGCGATGTACTCTCTGATCTTGGGCTTGAGGCCCTTCTGGAAGAGGTACATCGCATCAGCAGAGCCCAGCTCCTCAATCTGGGAGGAGAGGTCTTCAAACTCCTCGATGTAGCGGGTCACAGAACCACGCTGCACGAGAGAGTATAGCTTGTCACGGGCAATGAGTTCAGCATTGGGGCTGCCGAAGCGGCGACGGAGGCGGTCCTTGAAGTCGTCAAACACACCTTCGCTCTGCTCGTCGAACCCTTGGCGGCGGTACCAACGGTACGCCTGGTCCTTTAAGCAGAGCTTGGCGGCGACGATGTGGTGGGTGGGGGCGACTTGGGCAGCATCGAGGTAGTCCTCGAGTTGCTGCAGCCAGTCCTCCACCGAGGAGGAGCGGCTCTTCCCAGTAAACACTGGGGCACGGAAGGTCTTGAGGAAGGCTTCCGGAAGTGGGCGGGGGTTGCTCATGGCAGGGGCAGGCTCCAGGGACAGAGAGGAGAGTCGGTCGGCAAGAGAGGCGGGATCCAGCTTGAGGATCTAGAAAGAGGACAAACAGGACGAAAACAAGACGAGGATTTCCGATGCTACCATGTAACGTCCACTACTGGGACGTTGGGGCAAGACGGGGAGGGAGGGGGTACAAGACAAGACAGGACGGGGCAGAACAGGGCGGTGCTAGGCTACTCTAGCGGACGGGTGAGCTCGGGGAGCACTTACGTTTATTCACGATAAAACCGAACTCCAGACAAACGGGGGGAACGGGGGCAACCCGCAGGTATACCCTGCGGTGGCCTGCCTGCGGTGCGTGAAAACGCAAAGCGCAGCACAGGTCACGACCCACTGCGCCGCGCAGTACGCGCAGTACGCGCAGCACAGCGTCGGAGATACCATCTCCTACACATGCAGAGTTTGCATACAACACCGCCAAGTCGAGCACAACTGGCTTGAGCCCCTTTGAGGCGCTCTACGGATTCCAGCCTGATGTTCCCACCTCCTTGACACTGACCGAGTCCACGGCTGGATTGCCTCCCAAACCAAGTGCCTTTGTCAAAGATCATCAAGTCCGACACAAGATGATCGCCGACGCGCTCACGGATGCGCAACAAGTGATGGCGAAGTACTACGACCGCCGACACCAGGATGTCTCCTTTGAAGTTGGAGACCTTGTCTACCTGGACGCCGACAACATCAAGGTCCCCGAAGCCCAGTCAAAGAAGTTGTTGCCCAAGTACCGAGGACCGTTCAAGATAGCGGCCCGACCCAGTCCCCTCAACTACCTGTTGGACTTGCCACCTGGAAGCAAGCTCCATCCTGTCTTCCATGTGTCCAAGCTGCGTCGCCACACGACCCGCAGTCCAGCACAGTTCCCCGACGCCGACGAAGGTGTCCCGGACGACGCACCACTGGAAGACGACCTCGGACAATACTATACTCAAGAATATGAAGTCGAAAGGATCGTGAGGCACAAGAAAGTGGCTGATGGGTCACTTCGGTTTTATGTCAAGTGGGTTGGTTACCCACACTCGGGCAACACATGGCAAACACTGGAGGACTTGTCCCATGCACCCGAGGAGCTGAGTAAATACGGTAAACACCTCGAGGAGCCCCAAATAAAGAGCACACGCAGGGCTCCTCGCAGGAAGCCTTCTTAAGTGTGGGAGTGTAGGAGATGGTATCTCCGACGCTGTGCTGCGCGTACTGCGCGTACTGCGCGGCGCAGTGGGTCGTGACCTGTGCTGCGCTTTGCGTTTTCACGCACCGCAGGCAGGCCACCGCAGGGTATACCTGCGGGTTGCCCCCGTTCCCCCCGTTTGTCTGGAGTTCGGTTTTATCGTGAATAAACGTAAGTGCTCCCCGAGCTCACCCGTCCGCTAGAGTAGCCTAGCACCGCCCTGTTCTGCCCCGTCCTGTCTTGTCTTGTACCCCCTCCCTCCCCGTCTTGCCCCAACGTCCCAGTAGTGGACGTTACAGTCAGTGTCGACAACACGATGCTGGATGTTGTCCGAGACAACATCGCCAACGACAAACAGTTCGGAGAACTGTTCCGAAAGGTGTCTAAGCTCCCCAAGGACGACGAATCATCCGAGTACACAGTGCGTGATGGCCTGCTCCTCCTGAAGAAGGACAGCCGTGTCTGTGTGCCGGACATTCCGTCGTTGAAGACCAAGTTGCTCCAAGAGGTCCACGACTCGCCCCTCGCTGGACACTTTGGAGTCGAGAAGACATACGACCGACTGGCCAAAGTCGCATACTGGCCTGGAATGAAGCGCACCGTCGAGAAGTACATCGAGTCCTGCCATACCTGCAAGATGGTCAAGTCACGCACGACCCGAGAGCAAGGATTGCTGCAACCCCTGCCTGTTCCCGACCGCCCCTGGACCAGCATGTCCATGGATCTCATCACGCATCTACCGACGACCAAGTTGGACCACGATGCAATCGCTGTCTTTGTCGACAGGTTCAGCAAGATGGCACACTTTGTGCCGTGCCAGACGACATGCTCCGCGCCTGACCTTGCACTGCTGTTCTTCAAGCATGTGTTCAAGCACCACGGCCTCCCAAAGTCCATCGTCAGTGATCGAGACCCCCGATTCACCTCCTTGTTTTGGACAAGTCTGTTCGACCATCTCGGCACCAAGCTGAACATGTCAACCTCGCACCACCAACAAACGGATGGACAGTCCGAGCGGACGATCCGCACCCTCGAGCAATACCTGAGGACATACGCCTCGACCAGCCAAGACGACTGGGACATACAGCTGAGTCATGCAGAGTTTGCATACAACACCGCCAAGTCGAGCACAACTGGCTTGAGCCCCTTTGAGGCGCTCTACGGATTCCAGCCTGATGTTCCCACCTCCTTGACACTGACCGAGTCCACGGCTGGATTGCCTCCCAAACCAAGTGCCTTTGTCAAAGATCATCAAGTCCGACACAAGATGATCGCCGACGCGCTCACGGATGCGCAACAAGTGATGGCGAAGTACTACGACCGCCGACACCAGGATGTCTCCTTTGAAGTTGGAGACCTTGTCTACCTGGACGCCGACAACATCAAGGTCCCCGAAGCCCAGTCAAAGAAGTTGTTGCCCAAGTACCGAGGACCGTTCAAGATAGCGGCCCGACCCAGTCCCCTCAACTACCTGTTGGACTTGCCACCTGGAAGCAAGCTCCATCCTGTCTTCCATGTGTCCAAGCTGCGTCGCCACACGACCCGCAGTCCAGCACAGTTCCCCGACGCCGACGAAGGTGTCCCGGACGACGCACCACTGGAAGACGACCTCGGACAATACTATACTCAAGAATATGAAGTCGAAAGGATCGTGAGGCACAAGAAAGTGGCTGATGGGTCACTTCGGTTTTATGTCAAGTGGGTTGGTTACCCACACTCGGGCAACACATGGCAAACACTGGAGGACTTGTCCCATGCACCCGAGGAGCTGAGTAAATACGGTAAACACCTCGAGGAGCCCCAAATAAAGAGCACACGCAGGGCTCCTCGCAGGAAGCCTTCTTAAGTGTGGGAGTGTAGGAGATGGTATCTCCGACGCTGTGCTGCGCGTACTGCGCGTACTGCGCGGCGCAGTGGGTCGTGACCTGTGCTGCGCTTTGCGTTTTCACGCACCGCAGGCAGGCCACCGCAGGGTATACCTGCGGGTTGCCCCCGTTCCCCCCGTTTGTCTGGAGTTCGGTTTTATCGTGAATAAACGTAAGTGCTCCCCGAGCTCACCCGTCCGCTAGAGTAGCCTAGCACCGCCCTGTTCTGCCCCGTCCTGTCTTGTCTTGTACCCCCTCCCTCCCCGTCTTGCCCCAACGTCCCAGTAGTGGACGTTACACACAGCCATGAGATGACTGCACAACCAGTCACGGTCCGATCCCAGCTGGCACAGCTCGAAGAACTTGCAGGCTGCGGGTGAGTCAGACTTGATGTTCCAATCCGCTGCCAGACACTCGCCTTCCCCAAGCTTGAACTCATCCGATTGGTTATCTCGGATGATCTTGACACCTTTCTGCTCGTCGCGCACGGTACCCCGACCGAGGTAGTGCATCCACCCGACCATGTGCGTGGCAATGGGCTTGATGACTGGGTCGGTGGATTGGGTGCTGACTTCATGCCAGTAGTTGAAGGCAGTTTCATCGCTCTGTTCGACACCATGGCCGATGAACGAGAGCCAGCCACGGAGGAACACGATATGGAGTCGACCGTCTTCGTTGGCTTGATCTGCTGCCTTGGAATACCACTCAATGGCCGTGTCGTAGCTTTGTTCGACACCTTCGCCGATCTCGTAGCATCGGCCAAGAGCGACCTGAGCCCGAGGAATTCCACGATCTGCAGGACCACGGTATAGCTCCGCGGCCTTGGTGTGATCTTTGTCGACTTCAATTCCGTTGAGATAAAACCCAGCGAGGTCGTACTGGGCCCTTGAATGGCCACCTTTGGCTGCATTCTCCAGAAAGCGGAAGATTTGCTGGAGGACGCTTTGCCTCTTGGATCGTTCCATGTAGGGTTGCCCTTCAACCTCGATTTGAAGGATCCTTGCCAGGAAATATGATGCGGCAGCATTGCCATGCTCTGCCTGAGCAACGAGCCAGGATCGATCAGCTGTCTCTTGATCATCACAGTGCAGCGAGATGGCAATCTGGTCGCTCGGTGTGAGGCCGATCTTTATCTGTCCGTCTGGATGACACAGTCCTGCATTCTGGCACCAACGGTGGAAGCGAGGCACCTTGGAGCTCAGGAGGGGTCGGGCTCGTTTGCATACTCTGAGCAGGATCTTGATGGTGCTGTGATCAATCGCAAGCTGGAAGCTGTCGTTGCAGCAGACGATGGTGAAGATATCTGGGTTGGGTTCGAGTGAGAGTTGGGTGATATCGGGAATCGACGAGGTTGTTCTGGCTTCAGCTTGGCTTTGGTGGGTGGCAGATGATGCCGTGTTTGAAGCAGGCTCGTTCATGCTTGCCATGTTGAACGGGGAGACAGCGGGAAAGGAGAGAAGTGGGTGGGTGTTGGCGAAATGTGGGTGACGGCGAGGGAAGAGGGGGAAAACGGGCGACGAGGGAAGAAAAAGCAGGCAGGACCCGAGCCACGCCACCCGGTATCAATGGCGGTGACACGGTTTCAGATGCGCGACACACGAGCGCAGCGGATGCCAAATCCGGCTGGGCTTGCCTGGGGATAAACGGGTAAACTCGGTGATGGCAGTACAAGTGGATTCTGCTGGTTCTGAGTGAGTCATTGTGTCTGTGTGGTTGTGCGCGTTTGTATCACCGTTGTATCACCTATGTTACGCGTGACCGAGGAGCAGGGATCTCGCATCCCGATTGGCTCGGGTGTGCTGCGCATGGTCACCCTTCTCCCTTTGGCTCGAATCGGATCGGATCCAACCAGCTCCGTGGTCACGTGGACGATTCACGTGGTCTCGCGCCCCAGCGCAAAAATCGCGCATCCACCTGGGCCATGGGTGCTGGCGTCGTTGGGATCTTGGGCGACGCGCAGTCGTCTGGTCCGGTCATAGGTACTGCGTGGTTGGGGTGGTTTGGGTGGGTTGTTCTTGCGCTTCATCGCTGAAACGCGATCTGCGTCAGGATGGGCCAAACAAAGATCGCGTACCAGAGTTAGAGTGCAACAATGTCCAACGAGTTGACCGAGGTGTTCGTGGGCCTGAGCAGCGATATTCTGGATGATGGTGTCGTGCTCTTCCCAAATGACAGCATCTTGAACATCTCCATCAAGATGGCTGCCCTGGGCTCGCTTCCATCGATCACCCACATCCTCCGAGGCCTGGTTCCACACCAAGTCCTTCACGCCGAGCCCGATGCAACCAAGACCCACAAGATCTGGTACTTTGATGGGCTCCTCTGGAAGCATGTGGATCTGGACTACGCCCTGACCAAGCTTCTCACTGATCCCCAGGGCGCCTTCCAGGGGTGGGTCGAAGTGGTTCGAGCAAGGTATGCCAGCTCGAACAAGCTCAAACATGCCAAGGATGTGGTCAAGGAGATCAAGCACACTCTGGGAAGCATCCCAGACATCATCAAAGACAGGTACAGATTCGCCCTGGCGTTCCAGCACGAAAAATTCAACATCGAGACCTTTGCCATCACCCACGCCAATGCATCGACCAACACCATCCTCTTCGCCAATGGGATTGTGATGGAGCTGCCTGGCCTCAAGGCTCGTCGGGTCAATGCTGGCGACTGCTTCACCCACTCGCTTCCAGTCTCGTACGTGGTTGACGACTTTTATTCTGGCGTCGATGGCAAAGTCTACGTGCTGGAGGAGATAATTCGCTCGATGCTGGGCAAGAGCAGTGACAGAGAGTACCACTTGCTCTTACGTTTCCTGGCAACATGCCTCACCGCCAAATCTCGCACTTCCGAGTCAGCTCTCTTCTTGGTGGGGAACGACCAAACCTCTGGCAAGCGCCTGCTCCTGCGTCTGATCCAGCATGCATTGAGCTCGCGCATCCTGAGCGTCCCAGGCAATAGGCTGGTCTCGCGGATCAACCCTCCCAGCGGTGCCCATGTCAAGGAGCTTGTGACCGAGGCACTGGACGCTGGTGCCACCTGCATTCTGGGCGAAGGACTCAAGAGCTCGCAATTCATCGTCAAGGCCAGCCATACACCTACTCTCACATCAGTCACCTCAATCCAAATCGACCACCGAGCCATGGGGGTGTCATGAACACCCTCTGCCTTTGCCCTCTTCCTTCCTTTACCATTGCCCTTTCCTTTCTGTTTGCCTGCCTTAGCGCTTTCCCTTCCTTCTGTTTGTTCGTTTCCCGCGCTGTGCTGCCTTGTTGTCTTACCGCCAGCACGCGCGCTGTCTGTGTTCCGTTCCCGCTTCCTTGCTGTTGGTCATGGGTTACGCCCACGACGCCGCCTCGACGCCGCCTGACGCCTTGGCGCCGCCATGCCGCCGCCACTGACGCCCGCTGACTCACGGATCCCGAGTCACGGCCGCCACCTGCTTCGCTCGCTGCTTCGCCCTCCCCGCCGCTGCTTCGCTCCTGCCCCCTCGCTCTGCAGCGTCGATCCTTGGCGCTCGCATAAATAGTCCTCCGACCAGCCTCTGTCCTTTGCCTTCGTCTTGCCACTTTGTATTTTTAGTATCCTAAGCCTTGGATCTAGAATAAAACTTTGGCTTTACACTTGACACTCTGTGTCCCAGTCCAGTCCCCGCTCCTCTCCCTACGTTCGAGTCTTGTATTAGGACTCTTGCGCACTTCCCTGCTTGCCCCGTTGTCCAGTCTTGACACTTGGCAAGACCTTCAACAACCCCCCACTTGCCCTGCCTTTGCCCCCGTTCCCTTCGCTATCTCTTTTACCAATGGCTTCCCCTTCTGGCCTTTCCGAGCCCGAGCTCCAGGCCATCCGTGCGGTCATTATCCAGTCCGCCGAGAACGCCCGTTCTCTCCAGGACTTTTCCAAGTTCCTCCACGATCAGGATGATGCGCTCAACCGCATCACCGATCGTATGGACCAGGTCCTGGCTCGCCGTGAAGAGGATGTCCGCCAAGTTGTCGCCGCCAGTGTCCAGGAGGCCCTCCGCAGCTACCAGGCCCAGCTACCTCCTCCTGCTCCCGCTCCCGCCCCGATCCGTCGCGCAGGTCGCCCCTACTTCGGCGTACCTGACGACGTCGATGATCCTGCCCAAGACCCCGAGGATCACTCTGCTGGTCGCAACTCTGCCACCAGGCAGATAGGTCCTCCCGACCGCTTCTCTGGTAAGGACCCGAGCCGCTGCAATGCCTTCCTCTCGCATTGCAGACTGGCCTTCGTGTCCAACCCTCCCCTCTTCCAGACTGAAAGGGATAAGGTGTTTTACGCCTTATCCTATCTCGATGGTACTGCTGCAGACTACATGCAGCCGTACATCGATCAGTTGGAGAGAGACCCCGAGTGCTCCCCCCCTGCCATCCGTGACTTTGCCGGTTTCTCCGAGTGGCTCCGTGCTGCCTTTGGCCAGGTTCAGCCCACCATCGCCGCTGCTCGCGAGATGGTCAGGCTTTACCAAGTCACCTCCGCCGCCGCCTATGCCGCCGAGTACCGCCGCCAAGCCGTCCACCTCGTCACTTGGTCCCAAGACCCTCTCATGTTCCACTTCGAGAGTGGACTCAAGCCCTCGGTCCAAGACGAACTCTCCCGCCGCTCCTTCGACAACCTCGAAGATCTCATGCAAGCGGCGATCGCCATCGACAACCGCCAGGAGGACCAACGCTCCCGCCGTCCCAACCACCGCTCCGCTCCTGCTCCTGCTCCTGCTCGTCCGGCTCCTCTCCCTTTCCGTCCGGCTCCTCGTCCGTTCGCTCCTGCTCCTCCTCCTCGCCCCGCTCAAGCCTTCAACGTTCCGCAGCCCATGGACCTCAGCCAGGCTTCCGCTCGCAGGCTGACCGCCGAGGACAAGGCCGCCCTCCGTGCTGCCAACCGCTGCTTTTATTGCAAGCAGGAAGGACACATTGCCCTTCGCTGCCCCAATAAGACCTCCTCCCGCTTGGCTGCCATCGATGCTTCTTTGGCTGTCGTTGATGTGAATAAACTTGACGACCAGGAAAACTTCTCTGCCTAGAAAAGGTCGGAGGAGCTTTCCTAGGCGTCAATCATGTCATAAATCTTCCTCCTGTAAATGTCTCCACGGTAAATCACTCTTCTGCCTTTTGCCATCTTGCCCCCGTCACCATTGCCACCGTTTCCACCGCTCTTGCTTCTTCGTCTTCGCCTCCCGAGCCTGACATCCAACGTCAGCCCTCCCTCGCTGTGACTCTGCTGTGCGGTCCAGAGTCCATACGGGCAACCGCCATGATCGATACCGGCGCGGTTACTTCGTTTATGGACACTGGATTCGCCGCAACCCACGCTCTCCCCACCTTTGAAACTTCCTTCGTCATCACTCTTGCCGATGGTTCTTCGATGGAGTCTAGTCTTGGAGTTTGTGTTTCTATGATCACAGGCATCAGCCACTATGAACAAATCTCGTTCGCGCTGATTCCCTTGGCTTCATACCCGATCATCTTGGGTATGGATTGGATCAAGAAACACAAACCCTACTTTGACTGGCACCATGACTCTATTTTCTTGCCTTGCACCTCTATCCACAGTTTGGCCTCCCCGTTCTCTCCCGAGCCACAGTCCTCTAGGTCCAGCCCTGCCGAGCCGCCTGCCGAGTCCCCTGCTGAGGTCCCCGCCGAGCCTGCCGTGTCCCTGCCCGAGTCCAAGAAGTCCCCAGCCGAGTCCCCAGCCGAGCCCGAGATCCTCCCTGCCTTGCCTCCTGCCGTGCCCAAGCCCAGTCCTGCCTTGCCTCCTGCCGTCCCAAAGACCAAGACCAAGACCCCGTCCCTGCCCAGCGTCAGCCTGATCGGCAGCATCCCCTTCCAGCACGCCGTCCAGAAGGAAGGCCTGGAAGTGTTCCTCTTGGATGCTGCCCGAGTCCTGTCCCTCTGCTCCGTCGACGCTGGAGCCAAGCCCAAGGCCGAACCCTCTGTCCCCTCCAAGTACTCGTCCTTTGCCAAGGTGTTTTCCAAGTCCGAGGCCGACAAGCTCCCCCAGCACCGCCCTCACGACCACACGATCCCGTTGGTCGAAGGTGCGTCTCCGTCGTTTGGGCCCGTCTACAACCTCTCCAAGCCGGAGATGGACGCCCTCCACACCTACATCCAAGAAAACTTGTCCAAGGGTTTCATCCGCCGTTCCGAGTCCCCTGCCGGTGCCCCAGTCCTGTTCGTCAAGAAGAAGGATGGCTCCCTCCGTCTCTGCGTCGACTACCGGGCCCTGAACAAGATCACCGTGCCGAACCGCTGCCCCTTGCCCCTGATTGCCGAGACGTTCGACAACCTCGGCAAGGCCAAGATCTTCACCAAGCTCGACATGCGAGGCGCATACAACCTCTTGCGCATCGCTGAAGGTGAAGAGTGGAAGACGGCCTTCCGCTGCCGCTACGGCCACTTCGAGTACAACGTCATGCCGTTCGGCTTGACCAACGCTCCTGCCTCGTTCCAAGCCTTCGTCAACGATGTCCTCCGTGAATACCTTGACCAGTTCGTGGTCGTCTACCTGGACGACATCCTCATCTACTCCTCCGATCCTACCGAGCACGACGCTCATGTCAAGAAAGTCCTGACCAAGCTCCAAGACGCCGGACTCTCACTCAAGCTTGAAAAGTGTGAGTTCGACCAGTCCTCCGTCGCCTTCCTCGGGTTCATCATCTCGCCCGATGGAATCTCCATGGATCCCGACAAGGTCAAGGCCATCCAGGAGTGGGAGATCCCCCGATCTGCCCACGACATCCAAGTCTTCCTCGGCCTGGCGAACTTCTACCGTCGGTTCGTCAAGGACTACTCCAAGATCGCCACCCCGCTGACGGACCTCCTGAAGAAGGACATCAAGTTCTCCTGGTCTCCCTCGGCTCAAACGTCATTCCTGAAGCTTAAGGAATGCCTGAGCACCGGTCCTGTCCTCCGCCACTTCGACCCCGAGCGTCAGTGCGTCATCGAAGCCGACGCATCTGACTATGCTCTTGGCGCTGTTCTCAGTCAGCGCGACGACGAAGGCCTCCTGCACCCCGTGGCTTTCTACTCCCGGAAGCTGCTCGATGCAGAAATGAATTATCAAATCTATGATAAGGAACTTCTCGCCATCGTCGCAGCCTTCAAGCAATGGAGACACTACCTCGAGTTCTCCTCCCAAGCCACCGAGGTCGTCACCGACCACAAGAACCTCGAATACTTCCAGACCTCCCGCAACCTCAGCCGTCGCCAAGTCCGTTGGTCCGAGATCCTTGGCGATTATAACTTCGTCATCAGGTATCGACCCGGAACCCTCAACAATGCCGCCGACGCCCTCTCCCGCAAGGACAAGTTCCCTAAGGAGGGGGGTGACTCCCGTAGCTCCCCGAACACCCAGACCCTGCTGCCACCAAAACTCTTCGTTTCCGCCCTCCGAGCTGTTCCCGTTGCCCCCGAGTCCGAGGATATCGCCGCCCTCATCAAGTCAAACCTCAAGAAGGACTCTACCTTTGGTCCGATCCTGTCCCAAGTTCTCAAGAATCCTGCCTCCTGTCCCGGCTACTCCGTCGACAACGACCTTCTGCTCTTTGAAGGTCTCGTCTGCGTCCCCGATGTCCCCGAGCTCAAGCGCAAGATCCTCGTCGAGTGCCACGACTCGCCGACTGCCGGCCACTTCGGCGTCGCCAAGACCTTTGAGCTCGTCTCCCGGACCTTCCACTGGCCGACCATGCGTCGTTACATCAAGGAGTATGTCTCCGGATGCGACACCTGCCAGCGGAACAAGCACTCCCGTCACAAACCCTACGGACTCCTTGCCTCGCTCCCTGTTCCCGATCGCCCTTGGTCTTCTGTTTCGGTCGACTTCATCACCCAGCTTCCCGAGTCCTCTGGACACACAGCCATCTGTGTGTTTGTCGACCGCTTCACCAAGATGGCCCACTTCGTCCCGTCAAGCAACGAGGCCAACGCCGAGGACACTGCTCGGAT